CATTAATTAACAGTCTTCGAAACAATAAAATACTCTTTATTGAACAACTTACAACAGCTGATAATTTATATATTCTTTCATGAAATAACATATATATACGTACCAAGAAATCTACTCATGGACCTACCCCATCTTGGTTACTAAACTTTCCAATCTTATTCAAAACAATACAATTTCCCAAACATGACCACATCTTAACTTACCAAATATTAATACCTTTATCAATTTCTTTGATACAATCACTTCTTATCACTTATTACCATTAAATAAATAATCTATTGTCTTTAATAACTCACAAATTCTATTTACAAAAAATTTACTTAACTTCTTTTTCTTTTATAACATCTTTTCTGGATTAATATTTCTAACTCCTACTAACTTATCTACACCAATTTTCCAAACTTCTATTAACATTTCTTATATTAAATCATTAAAAAAGAATAACAACTATTTATTCTACATTAATAATCATGAAATTCATGTACTTATTAATATTCAACAACATGTAACTTCAACTCCAATACTACCTCAATTACCAATGATTTATATTTCTGATACAAAAATTCAAATAATCCAAAAAAACATATCCTCTTCTCAATACCAAAACCAACTTACTAACCTATTCTATTAGCTAAAAACCTTCCAAATAATACACATTTCTACACAGATGCTTCAATCATTGATGCACAAACAGCACATCCAAAAATTGGTATTGGATAGATTTCCGAACATAATACTCAAATCAAATTCAACTGTGCAATATCTTCTTATCCTGACTCTACTCGAGCAAAACTTGAAGCAATTATCGACCTCCTACTCATCCTTCCAATAAACTCACAAAGCAACATACATCTCGACAACCTATCAGCTCTAAAAAATACATATGAGCTAATTTGGGACATGCATAAAGTCTAGACATAGTACCCCAAAAAAATTTTTAATGGTGGGTCAGGTCGTTTGACATTGTATTGTCTACTAAATAATGATAAGTCTTTAATTTATAATGTAATTATTAAATATCAGAACCTCAAGCTAAATAAAAAGCGTTATTATTATATATAACTACTGTGTTCTAGTTATTTTTTCTTTTAAAAAATGCTTTCGCTAATTACCAAAAAAAAATTAATAAATAATATTAAACCATTAAAACTTGCCTTTTGATTATGAGTTTACAATCTATCTTATTACCAAATATAACATCTACTTCTTCAACCTCTTTTGTCTGTTGTTCTATTTGTTTTCGAAATTTCAAGTTTGAAAGTGGACTTAAACGGCATTATAATGTAATTAAAAAATATAATATGCCACATAAAGATCTTGATGCAATTCTGAATACTTCATTGCAAGAATATAAAAATATTTTAATTCAACAAATACATTGTCAATTACCATTAAGCTTTAGCAGAATAGGAAGAAAAGTATTATCAATCCCATGTACTGAAAGTCAATTTTTTGCTATTTTTGCAAGACATATTCATCAATTTTCTAACAACCCATGAGTATACAAATGTAGATTTCATGGAGAGTCGGCTTATTTGACTTTAACAAGAATTTTAGAAGATTCTAAATAGGGTCAAAAATGTTATAATTAGAATCAGCAAACATATATTGTTTTTGAACAGCTATTAAATCAACCAATTTGTTCTAATATTGATCAAAATCAAGATAATATTAATCCTATAGAATTAGTATTAAATAAAAATAAATTAAATAATAATAAAAAAAAAAGAACCCCAAAAATTACTTGCAGTGAATTTCTGGTAGAATGGAAAAAAAAAATTGATCAAGAAGTAGATGGACATATTTGTATTGCAAGATTTACAATTTTATCTTTTTATATATCACAAAGACGTTTATAAATCTGAACATAAAAATAAGATTGTCTTAGTTATAGTATGTATTATATGCAGAGAGAATTAATAAATTTCGGATATCATTTGCTTTAAATAAATTTTTTTTTTCTGATTTATAAATTTAGTTTATTGAAAATTATAAATAGTTATACTTTGGAATCTTCTGGGTATGCGAGTTTATTTTCATAAAAATTTAGAGATAATAAAAAACAGTTTAAAACATCTTTAAAATATGATGATTAAAGTCCAAATACTGATTTAAATAATGCTCACTGTTTTT